TCTGACAATGGTATCCGCTGCCAAGGCTACGTGGACGATATAGTGATTATTGCCAGAGGGAAGTTTGAGAGTACCCGCTGCGACATCGTTCAAAGAGGCTTAAGATTAACAAAGGAATGGTATGCCAAGTGAGGGCTGAGTATAAATCCAGCTAAATCCGCCATCGTTCCATTTACTAGGAAAAGAGCCCTACCGGCCATGAGGGACATTACCTTGGATGGGGTCGTGGTCAATGTCGCCAGCGAAGTGAAGTACCTAGGACTAATGGACGAACTCCTACCTGAGTAGATTGATGAGGATGTGCCAAATGAGTGTCCGACATGCGGAGAGACCTCACATGACTCTAAACATCTCTTCGCATGCCCGGAAAACCCGACAACCCTAACGGTCTTGTCCCTGTGGACCAACCCTACAGAAGCTGCACGCTTCCTAGGGCTGCCGTTAGTGGAACTTGATGACAACGACTGAGATACCAACCGTCCTGGGCGGGGTTGTTGTAGCCGCTACAACAACAACCTAGGACTAATCCTGGACACCAAACTTCGATGGAAGAAACGTGTGGATGCGACCACATCCAAGACCACGAAAACATTAATGGTGTAAGCGTCTGTCGGGAAAATTCTGGGGTTGTAGCCCCAGGATCCTAAGATGGCTTTACACCATGATAGAACAGTGTCCAATGACAGCGCTGGAAGTGGTCCTTGAGCTCGAGCCCCTTTATATAACCATAGAACAGGTCGTCAAAAGAACTATTCTCAATTTTGCCAGACAGAGATTTGGAAGGCGTAAGGTCATTTTCTCCAAGAGCATGGGGAAGCTGGGTCCTCGCTCCCGCTAGCCCGGCTTCCGAGGGATGACATATGTAGAGCTATAGTTTTTGAAACGAGATTTAAAATTGAGTTAAGCAGTAAAGCAACCTGGAGTACCTGCTCCTTCGAGAGACTCCTTCATAATAGTACATTGCAGTGGTACACCGACGTCTCAAAGACCCCAGAAGGAATAGGGGCTGGAAGCTCTGGACCTAGGTCCAGTATCTCAATCCCTATGCGGAAATACCCGACCATATTTCAATCTCAAGTCTACGCCATCTATTTGTGTGCGGAGACCATCATAAATAGAGGATACCGTAATGAGAGAATTGTGACAGTCAGGCGGCACTCACTCATCAAACTGGCGTGGGTGCCTGGCCATATGGGAATAGATGTGAATGAAGCGGCGGATTGTCCCGCTAGAGAGGCGGTAGCCTCCCAAAGGAGAGGATAAGAATACTAACAAGTTTTCTTACAGGACACTGCAGACCAAGAGGGCATCTGTATAGGCTGGGGATACGATCACATGACCTTTCCCGGTTCTGCGACATTTCCAGTGAAACATCACTCCAATTCCTCATCGAGTGTGGTGCAGTCAGCAAAAGACGTGAGATGAGTTAAGGCTCAATGTGGCCACAGCTAGAGCATATTCATTCTTTATTCCCGAAGAAGCTTTGGAACTTCCTGAGGGATCTTGGCTTGGAGGAAATATTATGAAGAGCAGAGGACACAATAGATCATTAGGTCGCAGTGCATACCTCATCATATTATATATCTATCTATCTATCTATCTACTACTAGTCGACACGCGCAATAGGGGTGAGCTTTTTATCCTTGATAGAACGCTGAACGATCGCTCGGCGTTGGCAACCGAGACTGGCAATGTGCAGCACATTCGCAAAGCGAGACAGGTGTTTCTAAATTTTTAATGTGATCGCATTTAAGTGGTCAAATGAAGGTATGCAGTCCTTAGAATTTTCAGCAAAATTCGCCCTATAAACGGTTTTCAGGTGCATCATTTCATTTGAATTATATTCGAACACATCAGAAGGATATTTTTTGCAAAGGAAAGTGCTG